GCCGAGAGTCGCCGAGGCTCACACCGGGCCCAGCCCGTTACATGGCACGAGTACACGCGCCGGTCTCAAGGTTCACGACCAATTGCGGCGCCGATATCGCCCGAAGGTGGATTGCCAGTCCACGTCGCACGCTGGCGATGAGCGTGGGTACCGACCTAACACCGGCGCAGTCCTGCATCAGCGCGGCTATGGAGCAGTAGCAAGGCAGACCCCTGCCACGGCAACGAGCCCCGGGCAACATACACGAAAACATACCCAAGGGACTCTAGGTCGTCCATACAAGACTGTTCTTCGTGCGCGTCAGTGTACGGACGATTAGCATCGCGATGAGACACCTACCACGGCCGTTGTGGTTGTTGATGCTGGCGTACCGTCTGGTGCCACCCAGCGGGAGACCCTCCACATTCTTGCGACGCTCGGCATCGGAAAACTCCTTGGCGAGGCCAAAATCAATCGTGTATAGTGTATTCCCCTGCCTGCCGACCCCCATCAGGAAGTTGTCCGGTTTAATGTCGCGATGGAGGAAGCCCTTCGAATGGATGTACTCAATTCGGGCGTTGGCCTGGTCGGCGATGAGGAGAATAGTCCTGGAGAGAGAACTTCCGGTCGCAGTAGTTGACAAGGTCCTCGAGTGACGGGCCGAGGGCGTCCAGGACCAGCACGTAGAAATCGCACTCCTGCCCGAACCATCGCACTCGCGGGATTCCGATCCCGCCGTTCAGCGCCTCGTATGTCCTTCTCGCCTGGAGCACCTCGAGGCTGTCTCGAACGAACGTGAGCTTTATGGCCACCTCCTCGCCCGATGAGAGGTCGGTTCCTATGGTTCACTTTGGGGACGAGGGCGCCAGGTTAAAGTATGTATGAAGGCATGGATGACTGGATGCTGGGTTGTATTGTATCATATTGTACTGTATACCGGGCTGGGTTTTGTTGGAGGGGTGGTATGTGTCGATTTTGTGTGTGCCAATTCTAGGTTTGTCTTTTTGTTTTGTGATAAATCTTGAAGAGGGAGTTTGGGTGCATAAAGGGATGAAGCATATTAACGTTAAGGGAATTCAGCCAGCGTGGAGTTTGGGTGCATAAAGGGATGAAGCATATTAACGTTAAGGGAATTCAGCCAGCGTGGAGCTGGCCGGGAGATATGAATCGCATTGTACTGTGTGAGTTTTTAAACTGTAAGATAAGGTAGGTTATGTACCAGACATGTACCTAGATCATAGCAACATAGACTGGAGAGTCCCGTATTTTCTACTTCAGTTCAGCTCCTTCTCCTCCCAATATAGCTTCCGGACCTCATTTTGCTTTAAAATATAATTCAGGCATCGATATCAGATCAGGACAAACCACTCGTCATCCGTAGGCGACTCAGCCCCCCAGAACTCACCATTCATGATCTCACCGACAACGGCTGCACCAACATACCTGTAGAAGTCCCCCCAATGTCGGAGGACTGTTGGTAGTGGAGTCCCGTAAAACACAACGACAATATCGCCGTCTTGGACAGTGTGCGGCCCGAGTCCTAAGTAGCCGCCCACAGTTCGGAACACCGTCTTCCAGTGGTGAACGAGCATCTTCGTAGCAAAGTCCAGTATCCTTGGGCCGAGTACATAGTTTGTGGGCTCTCCTTAGGGCCAGCCAGGGCTGTCTGACACGGTTCGCCGTGTGACCTCGCACTCGTTAGCAACATACACAGGTCTCGGACAACCGATTCGACAGCTTCCGCAGAGAGATGAACGGGCTTTGGAGAGGCATGCAGCAGCGTTCGAGCCAGTAACGTCATTGTGGCCTCGGTATCCTGGCAGTCGCGCTGGCCTTGTACGACGTCGGAATCAAGCCTCGAGTAGGGGAGCCTTCCAAAATCCGCCCCGGCGACAAGCATTTTGCGATGGATCAAGTGCTTCCCGCAATAGAGCATGACATTGCGCCCGAGGACTACCTCTTGGACAACCTGCGAGTGTCAATATTCACATCGACCTTGAGGGTTTGGATGTTCACACCCAGATACGTCTGAACCACGGCAGACGAAATACCGTGCAGCTTTTCATATGGATATTCCGGGGTTGAAGCTGATGAGGTGACTTAGTGACGAGCTACAACGAGATGGATATGATTACTAAGGTGCCGTCTTACCAAGGACATCATCGTCGACCAGATTCTCGTACTTCCTTCGAAAGAATGCTTGCTGAGGTCCAGGCGTTTTGGCACCAATATAGTAGCTCGCCAGTTGTTTCAGCGCCACGATGGCCACGTCCGATGCTGGATCGCCTTCGCCCAGATGAACACTGAACCTGGACCGCCTTCCGGTAGATGTCACCCATCATGGCGACTTGCCTGCCGCGCTTGTCCAGCGCCTCGGGGGTGTCGCCCTGATTGATGCAGATGGAGTCGACCCAGAGGTACCTCTGTATCTTGCCGCGCAGCATGCGGCGCAAAGCAGCAGCGCCCTTGGCCGTAATCCCGAGCCGCTTCCCGTCAACGGCGATGGTTTCGCATTGTGTAGAATCGCCCCATGTGTATGAGAGGGCGTAGTACTCCGGGGGCGCGCCTATCGAAGCCTCAACCAGCCATCCGCAGAGCCGAATATCCTTCTCGTCCACGCTATGATGTTGGTATACGCGCTTCAAGTGGAGAATGCGAAAGCCCGATGCGAATGTTAGCGGGTTGTACGGGAAGGGGCCATTGCCGCCCTCGATGCTGCTTGGTAGTTCATGACTCGGTGCTGAGAGTGCCTCGCTGAACGCTGCAGCGACAGTACCAAGAAATTCACGGCCGATGCGCGTGAAAGAAGGCCTTATCACATGGCTTTTGGGTGACATGGCAGCGGTTAGAGGCCAGAAATGAGCTGTGCAAGTGAAATTTGTCAGGAGAATACATGTATGCACCAGCTGAGGCTGCTGAGCAGCGACTGGCAAGAGCCTAAATTTCAACCAGATCATGTCCCGAGACGACTAAAAAATGTGACATTGTTCCCCCATCTCCAGCAACTTCAACCTGTCACAACACGTAAACGAATCCAGACAAGGCTAGTACCCAGAGACCGATTTCCTTGAGAGAGCCCATCCCAGGCCGAGCCGCCGCCGTGTTCATTTGAAAAGTCGAGCTCTGCCTGGGATCGTTGAGTTCCCTCCCCATGCGCGCCACGCAAGATGAAATTCTATGGCCTGCGCCATTCCCATCGGTGCCGTTGAAGTAAGACCTGGGTACCTCGCACCACAGCCAGCACCTGTCGGCGACCTGAACGACGTTGGGCTGGCAACAGACCCCCATGGGCTGGTACGACGCATTGGTGCCGGTCGTCACGAAGACGTTGATGTTTTGGGGAATTGGGAGGTTGATGACCTCCGGGATCGCGTTGCCGGGACAAGTTGTGTCCATGTTCGCCATGTTGCAGGGTGGTTGAGGTGTTGCTTTTCCTGCCGAGGGCGAAGATGCGGGGAGAGTGGTTGTCAATGCAAGCAAGGCCTGAGGACGGAGATGGGATCAGAGTCGGTGTAAAGGGTCCTGAGGTTTCGGCCGGCGGTCCGGAGTTGCGAACTGAGTTGCGAACTCGGTAAGGTAGCGAGGGTGAACGAAGCGGTTGCTAAGATAGCGGGAAAGAAGTTCAAGGGATTGAGTAAGCGAGTTGTGGGAGGCGGACTCGGAGACATCGAGTCAACGACTCTATGTTGATGAGAGTGTTCGCTCCAAACGCGTGTGACGTCGGGTGGTTGGTGCAGGCAGACTGAGGCAGTGTCGGGGTGCTCCCTATACAGTGTAGAAGCGTCGAACACAGTTGCCGTCAACTACAGTGCCAAGGGTCGAGGCACAGAGTCAATTTAACAAAAACCGGGCTATTGATCTTCAGTGTTGGTGATTTGCGAGAGAGGCAGGGTCGGCGTATTGTGTCCTATAGAAACGCCGAACACCGTTGCGGTCGGCTAGTGCCAAGGAGCCAAGGCGGCCAGAGACGTTGACCCTACGGATTACAGTTAGTACAGTGTTGGTGATCTTTGCAAGCTACATGATGCACTGGGAAAAGCGCCCTGGGGCAAGTTTCCGTAAGCAAGGACCTTCCGCATGCGGCAAGTCTCGCGGTCTGGGCCGCTAGTGCTCTCCGCAACCGTCGGTATCCAACAAGACGCTAACCACGGTAACCACCACGCGTCAGAGCACACGGATATCTCGGCCCATCACCGTCAGTGACTGGGATGCATTCTCTTCAAACCTACAGCCAACAGCACTGCCAAGTATTTTGTCCTGCGGCGGCGAGAGAGTGCGATGGTGCGATCTGTGAAGGATGAACCGATGAAGGACAGTCTGGAGAGACTGTCCTCGAGAGGGCGAGGAGGACAAGCAGGCAAATGAGCTCTGAGGGACAAGACAAAAGGATATATAAGGCGTACGTCCCTCGAGCAAACCAGGACTTTTGGGCTCGCAGACATCACTCTATCACCGGTCCTCGGCACCTCCTAGAGTCCTTCAGCTCATCTTTGTCTCCCACCTTCACCAGACCAACGACCGCCCAGCCAGATCATGAACCGCCTCGTGCTGGCGCTCCTGCCGGTTGCGTTTGCAGCTCCAGCTTTGCAGCTCGCCGCAGGAACGAAAGCCATCAACGTTGTTCTTCAAATCAATAAGGCCACGTCTGAAGCCGCTATTGACGTTTTGGATGAGAACAAGTCCACTGTCTTTGCTCATTCATGCTCGCGTACCCTTGCGTCCGGTTCCTTTGCGAGCTCACCACTTGCCTTCACCGTCAATGAGCAAGGTGCCGGCACCCTCAGCGTCGGCCCACAGACTTACACCATCCATGACCAAGTCGAATACTCTGGAGGCATCGTCTGTGGGCGTGTCGCCAGTCCTGGCGAGGTCGTTGTCAGCTGCCAGGTCCCCGTCCCATCGTCTCTGCAGTTGCATAGTCTGAACAAAAGGGACCTCCAAGATTGTTTTCCTCATGGCCCCGTCGAGCTCTCCAAGGTGGTGGAAGCATTGGAATCAGAAGGCGCTGTGACTTCAGCCAACGACACCGTCAGCTCCGTTACTGAGACACAAGATGTTGCAGCGGATGCTGCAGACAAACGCCAATATAACCCATGCAGCATCTGGAGCTCAGCAACAATCATGGTTGGCAACGGTAACCCACACCAGAATCCACTCCACATTCAACTCAGTGTAAGGTCGACTACCCCCACTGAACTGGAACAGGGATTGACATTGTTCAGGAGCCCATGCAATGCGGGCAAAGCAGCTGCGAAGTAGGATACTCCCAAGCCCGTTCCTTCACCGTCGGCTGGACAGCGTCCCTCTCGGCCGCGCAGTGGATCAGCGGTGGTTTCTCCGTTGAATCGACGATCGAGACGGGCAATCAACACGTATGCCACGGCCAGGCGCATGAGTACTTCGCCATATGGAAGAATCAGGCGCAAACAGCCTACACCGTCCAGAACGCCCTCTACAACGCCTGCACCGGCATGCACCCGAGCGGATCTCATTTCGTCATGTGTGAGCAACAGTTTTCTTTGTTTCTGGACTGTTTATACCCCTTTTTGGCTGTCTTGGGAGCCGTCCTGCTCCAAGACTGCGTATTTGCTCCCGAAACCCTCCAATTCACGCCCGAAATAGAAAGTCCACAGCTGACATTGTTGGCAGGGTCGCCCAACCGAGACAACCGCGGTGGAAACTACTACTGCGTCTACGGTCGGCAGTATGTCCGTTGGATTGGTGACCGATGGCTCGACACGGCTCCGCATACGCCAGGTGGTCCTCCTTAAGTCACACATCAAGTCAGTGTTGGCGTGGGACTCCATGTTGCGCTTCGAGCGCGTCATGGCTCGCCAGCACCTGCCAGTTAGCACAGACGGCACCTTTGGTTTCACGCTGCGCTTCTCCTCCTCTGCAGTCCACCTCACCTTCTTCATCTCGACTTGGGGATTCAACATCTCTGCCTTTGGACATCTTTGGATTAGTTAGCTACTTTAGTTGAATGCAAATTTCCTGTTCCCTTAAACTGTTCTTCGCTTGATTGCCGGGTCATTGTACCTACGGACTCATTCGCTGATAGTGTACCATGCAAGGAGTTACATGGTTAGCGACATGTATAGCAGCAGAGGATCTGATCAGCTCGCTCAGGTTGACGAGCGTTGGGGCTCGAACTCGCAGCGCGAGCATGCTAGGTCGGTGGCTCACATCACTCGCCACGAGGCTGAAGATGAGGTCCTCATGTTCGACGGGATCAGCAGTTTGGCCCCTCCTGGCCCCGACGAGGAGCGGTGCATCCGGGACGACGAGGAGAGAAACGCGCGGATCGGCCGTCTGACTGCCGCAGTTGAGACATGGCTGAACGGTATGCGCAGGTGCATGAACATGCCCTTTTGGGACAGCGCCAAGTTCAGCGACAGGGACTGCACGCTCTCGGGCACGCTGTGCCTCGCATGGGCGGAGGGGAGGCTTAACAATTGGCATATGTACCTGACATGGCAGAAGGACAGAATGGAGGCAGCTTGGGTTCCTACTACAGACCACCCCGACGAGGAGGCGGAGATGAGCAAAGACGGCGACGGCAATTACCACTGGAAGCATGTCCTCTGGCTCCGCGCGCACAGGGCCCGGTTTGAGGAACTGGGCACTGCATAAAGAACACGGGAGAGACAACACAGGGAAGAAAGACGCTAGGAAGTCTTGCAGGGTAGGAGCGAATAGTTAGTGGATTGGAAGACAAGAGATGCAGTGGCCATACTGGGATTCTCGCAGAATCAGTTAACAAATGGTCCTTTTTCAAAACTTGGTCTACATACTGTTCGTTCTGTAACGAAGCGAAATTTGCTTGTGCTGCTTGTAGTCCACATTGCCGATGTTGTTGCGTTGTTCGCCCAGGTTTCCCGCCCCCGGAGCCTGCTGCTGCTTGATCAGGGCGGGACCTGTTGGAAGACCAACAGCCACGATTCCACGGTGTCACACAAACGAGAGGTCACGACAGTGGGTTTGGGGTGCTCCAGAGCACCAAGAAGTGATTGTTTGAAGGTCCTTTTTTCTCCCTCATCTCCAGCGGTGGGCATCGCCCTGACCCTGTTAAATAATCTGTTCCCAGCCCCTGTTGCTTCTCGACAGTAGAGCATCGGCAACCCAGCTTCCGAGTTTCAAGTACCATGACTTCAAGCAACAAGCGTTTCAGGGTACCGTGGCTTTCCAACAGGGCCGTTGCCTACGACAGCAGCAGCGTAGGTGAGCTACAAGCGGTTTAGCTGTGGCGTTCCGGCAGCTGGAGGCTCAATACCATTGACGATCGAGCGTAATAAAAACATCAGGTTGTTCACATCATCTATGGACTGGACTAACTACGGAAACGTTACTTGGGAATCACACGCCCAACAAACCCATTCCACTTCTTTACTGAATCAATTTGCGGAACTACTCAGAAGACCAGATATAGGCCAAAAACCCACCCACCATCGGTTGTTGCTGGATCATGGCCTCCACCTCTTTGAGATCAAGTGAAATGATTCCAGTTCCATCCTCTCCATATTTTCCAGTGAAGCCATCTAGATAGTCACGGAACAAATGAAAGCTGACAGGATACCCGTTACTATATTTCAGGACAACCTCGACAACGGAGTGAAGATCAATTTCTGCCATTGTCGTTCGTGCAGCGACCATCCTTCAATGCCAGGTTCAGAAACGCGGGGTAACCGCAAGGGGCTCCCATATCCGGCTGCGGTGCGCGAGAGGGCTGTCATCGTCGGCCAGATCGGTAACAGGAGGTCTCTTGAGTGCTTCAAGGTCTGTTCTGTGCTTCGCGGGGCTCCGACGCGTGCCAGGCGCCTTGGTCTGAGGTCTGGTAGCAGCTGGACTGCGAGAGGTGCCATGGTTGGTCAGGTCGATGATAGCAGCAGCTCTCTTGAGCGCCTCAAGGTTCTTTTCTCTGCGCTCTGCGCGATCAGACGAGAGTTTTCAACGGTGGTGACGAGTTCGTTGACGTCCTGATGGGGTTCAGCGTCTGCAAAAAGGACAGTGGTGTCCAGTGTGAAAATGGTGGCCGATGCGGGAATGTGGTTGTGAAGGCGAAGGAGAAGGTGGTCGGGTCGAGGAGAAAAGAAGGAGAAGCCGAGGAAGCAGAGGAAGGGGGATTCAGAGTGATTAAATAGCCATCAGGAGCCGGCCAGGTTGCACGTGCTGGTATGCCCTGCCTCAAATTGTTGGAGATCGGAAATGAGTTCTTCCGAAGCAGGATAGACTGCCTTGTGGTAAGAGCAGGTTCATGTGCCGGGCGAGAGCAAGGTTATTGTGGCCGAGTGCGGAGGAGCTGGTACAGACAGGGCAACATGAAGCGAGAGACTTCACGCAGACAACACGTAGTCGTATGTAGAAGCAGAGGTTCGCAGTGTCGATAGTTCTGATTAAAGAGCCACGAAGTGTCTACAGCTCCTAAGAACGGCGGGTGTGCATCCTCACACCCAATACATCAAGAATCATCGCTGTCTTCGCCATAGAACTGTAGACACCCGCCGCTTACCCCCGCTCAAGCGTGGACAGATCCCTAATGCCCAGAGTCCTACCCACAAGCAAAATGCTTAATCGCGTCGGCGTCCCCATCGTTGCTGCAGCACTCATCGTCGTTGCCATCATCATATATTTCCTCGCGGAGTTGGGCGATCGGTTCCTGGTCTGTGGCCCACGCCTAGTCGTGTTGGAAAGTCGTGGCACTGGAAACTTGGTCTTGCTCAGCTGCAAGTGCCCTGCTGTTGGATGCATGGCTGCCCAACTGAGCGTCAGGCAACGTGAGGGGTAACCAGGGAGCTGAGCAACGAGGTCAGGGCGATTCCCCCTTCGCTGGAGACGAGAGAGAAGAACAACCTTCAATTGATGACTTCTGGGCTGCTCTGAGCATCACAAACCCACTGTCGTAAGCTCCCATCATCTGTGTGATCACCGTGGAATCGTGGCTGTTGGTCTTCCAACAAGTCGAAAGAGCACCGGATCAACTCTTTGGGTTGGAGGGCGGGAGGAGTGTCTACGCCGGCGAGTAATTTCGCGTCAAAAAGCGCGAAAGCCCTGAAGACCGTTACCGGTGCGCGGGGCGCCGGGGCCGGTGAGCAGCGCGTTGGATTGCTGCAATGTGAGGCTAATAATGCGCTTGGCTGAATGTGGGGCCGTAGCCGTACTCGGAGTGACCGGGGGGGAGGCTACCCGAGTCCCGTGACCCGCATCGCCGTCCAGCCGTTCCTAGGCACGGCACCGCTCGGCGTCCTGGGCCTAGAGGCCAAGGCGGCAGCGCAAAGGACAACGAGGCAAGGACAGATACCCAACCTCCAAATGCCCCAAGCCAAGTCCACCGCAATCAGGCTGGCATTGGCAAAACAACGACAGGGGAGAGCTCTCCCGGAAGACGTAGGCAAATTCTCAAAGGATCTGGACGTAGCACTTCCTGGCAAGCACACTCGCGATCTCTACGACAAGTTGAAACGAAAAGAGGCCTGTATCTTGGCACAACTCCGAACTGGAATGGCGAGGCTGAACGGCTTTCTAAGCCGAATCGGAGCGGTCGAGTCAGACCTTTGTCCTTGCGGCCGAGCGAGGGAAACCGTGGAACATTTTCTATTGCGATGCGTGAGATGGGAAGCTCTGAGGGAGGACATGTTGCAATGCAC